TGGTCTAGTGGAAGGTGTCCCTGCCGATGGCAGAGGGGTTGGAACTAGATGGTCTTTCAGGCCCCTTCCAGCCCAAACTGTTCTATGATTCTGTGATTATCCTGGTTGCCTAGGCCTGCTAGATGAAGAATTAAGGTGAATTGATGGTAACCTCAACACTGGCTTTGGGTCAGGAGATACAAGTGATAGGTCATATTCCAGAGGAAAATCAGGTGCTGACTGCAGGAATAACAGGTGAGGATACGCTGTGAGGGAAAGGGCCATTGCAGGAATACAAATGCTGATCCCTCTCGAGTCTGCAGGCAAGAAGAGCACCCTCGATCTAGTCTTCCTAAATGCAGAGTTTAATTTTAGAGCCTGCTCAGAATGAGGGAACCGTAAGACTGTTTGCAAAGGAGTGGCTGAATACTGCACCATAAGGAACATAACTGTCAGTAAGTAAATCCTTTCCAAAAGAAGGAAAGACAAATTTAGAAATCCGTCCTAGTGAAGGAATCCAAACTCTGAAAGTAATTATTTAACTACAGAAAACTATGAGACTAGGGCTCATGTAAATTTTTTTTTTTTAAATGGGAATAAACCTTGAGTGAAAAAAAAATTCCTCAAAAAGGAAAGTGCAGGCACTAAGTGAGCTCTCCTCCAGCTAAGTGACACCATACTCAGTTTTAGTCCATGATCTCCCCCTTTTGCCTTTTTTTTAAAAAAAGAAAAACAAAAAAACCACATTGCAATAACATATGAACTGCAGCAACCAGTGAGCAAAAAGTTCTGTCAAAGCCAAAGAAGTGCCTAAACTCTGATTTCATTACAAGAAAGTCAACCTGGATTGACGTGACATGTACGGATCTGAAACGGTGACTGAAGGTGCAAACTGCGACCAAATCATATTCTAATGGGCCATGAACCTTTCGAAGTTGTGAGGGCAACTTATGTCAAAACCAACCGTTTGCACAGCATCTCAGATAATGGGTCCATAACTGAACTTTCAGTAATATGTTAACAATTCAAGTAATAAAACATTAAGAACATGCACTTGGGGGACAGAAGAAAGTTCCACAGATCTGGAAAAGTCAAGTCCTTTTCAGAAAAGACAGATGATCAGAAGGGGTAATGAATGGAAACCTAGAGATGCTTCTGAAAATGGAACAGGAGAGACACCAAGATCTCTCATGCAAGTGCTCTTCTAGATATGAACATAAATGATGATGTTCTTGCACTGAAATACCACAGTTCCAAGCAGACATAGCAAGTTAAATTAGGCAAATACATCTTTCGGCTTTGGCAGTTAAAGTTTTAGAGTTTTCTCTAGTGTGCCCAGTTTTCAAAAGCTGTATGCTGCTCCTCTCAAGTTTATTTGGAGTGGCGGCGGCAGCTCAGTTTCACCAAAATCTAAAGATGAGGGCTATCCTGTTGCATTTCCTCTCTGCAAAGCCTTTTGGAGATCCTGCAATACTGCAAAGCAACTTCAAATAGTGTGAGCACACGCTGCCCTAAGTATGCCAAAGAAGGAGATCCTTCCTTCCCTAAGGAAGACACCAGGAAAATGACAATTTAAGCAAAGGAGCAAAAGAAGGAGCATAAGGTTGTCGCTCTCAAGAGTACTACAATAAAGCTGTCACAGGTCAGCCTGCTTCAGGATGCAAGCACGTGGAAACACGGACTGGGAGGAGGCAACTGCATCTTTCCTGGAAAGGCCGTATGCTACCTTCACCCTCACACAGCCTCACACAGCCACCTGAATCGGAAATGTCAGCCTGTAGAAGCACCACTACCAAGAACATGAAATCATGATGGCTGCCCAGGCAACACTGGTAAACAAATACCTGTTAATTTACCACATCCTTCTGGCTGAGGCTAGGAGAATACTTTGTTTAGAAACACCTCTACTATTACGTGCAAGTATGTACCTTATTCCCTCGCCCTGAATCCTGCTGTTGCGCACTGATACTGAAGACAAAAGAACTATACCAAAACAAAGTAGGACAGTAGTCCAGGACAATTTTATTCAGTGTTTTGTACTTACAACGATCTCAAAATACAGAGGCATATTTCAAAGAAGGAAATGGAAAGCAGTATCCACCTCTGCTGGCGCTCAGAAGCAGAACTGGGTGAACTGCAATTAATGGGTGAAGGCCTCAAGTGAGGGGGGAGAAAAATAAAAAGGTTAGGGTAAAGTGAGAGAAAGCAGTTAGAGAGAAGCGAAGGTGAAAGAACAGCAAGCAAAAGTTAGAAGAGCTAACAAGGGTTCGAAGAGCAAAGCAAAGAATGTCAGAGCAGCAACTAAAAGTATTCCAGATGGAAAAAGTTCCAAACAGTAATGCAGGAAAAAAATACCCGAACATATCACTACGTCGGAAACTATGCAAATGTGTAACACAGTACTCACTGCATCTCGCCTAGCATATTCATCCTCTCCACGGAACTGGGGCCACCCTGGCCCCCCCGGCTGGCCATGCCCTGCTCTGCCTGAGGGGATCTCCACTTGTTGACCTCCGATCCTGCTAGCAATTCCCACCTGAGTGAGGTGCTGTATCTGAGAACCTTAAAAGCAAATATTGTTTTTTCATCTTTATACACAGTCAGGTTTGTAGGGCAGACAAATGACAACATAAAACTTTGTTGGAAGCAGGAGACAAGAAGAAAGTGGAGCTCTGTTTCTGTGCAATTAATAAAAATTCAGCAAAAAAAGTGTAGAATAAAGAAGGAAAAGTTATGTACATTTTGTGCAGTCCATTTGAGTGTGATGCTTTTCATCGTCACTGCACTGAAAGAAGAGGTTGAGATACATGCATCTCAGACATGGACTACACTTCATTCCAAAAACATGCCAGCCCTTTCCAAACAGCATTTACTGAAGGCCCTGGCAATGCTTTCATGTAAATTACTCAGCAGCCAAGAGAAGACATTTACTCCTGTGGTACACCTTATTTGCATCGCACTGCCAAGACCCTAACTCTCCAGACTGCTTTCTATTCTGTACCTCAGAAGAATAAAACACAAGACTGTATGAGAGCACGGTTCTTCCAGCTTTGCTTTGTGGTTAAATATTAAACGATGCTGTCGTTGACTAACAAGAAGGTCAGCACACACTGTATCACCTTTCAGCTGGAAAGCTAACCTCCTCCTTTCTCCCTTCCCTTCCCTCTCCTCCTGCTGCTTTCAAATACGTGCAAAGATAGCCACCACCATTAATTGCAAGAGACATGTAACAACATGCCAGTTTTCCTTTTTCCTGAGTTTCCTCCCTCAGGGAAACAAAATTTATTTTATTATATTTTATTATTCATCAGAAATGAAACACATTTAATAAATCCACAGACACGTAAGAGAAAACTATGTGTGTGCACAAATAGGGAGGAAAAGACAAAACCAGCGTGATTTACACGATGGACAGTTAGGTAATGCTCACATTTTTCTCTCAAAAAAAACCCCAATATTTGAGAAGTTTGGTATTTGCATGTAGTTATGCTGAAGGACAGGGACTAATCATCTGAATTGCCTCCAAACTTTAAAGCAGAATACAGATGAACATTTAGAGAACAGTGTGAATCAGACAATACAATAATCATCATTAAACTGTAACAGTAACTGCATCCCTGTCGTTCTCATTCATTTAACATTTAAAGGGAGAGGATAGCAGCTATCAAAACCAGGACTCTGACATGAGTATATGATCATATTTCCAGTCTTTTTCAACTCCCTAGGAGGAAAACATTTATCTGGGAGAAAATTAACTGTGGCGTGTGCATAAGAACAGAATCTTTTATTCTTAGAATCAGTGTTTGCTGCTTAATTGCCATGTGATCTTAGAATTTTTTCCATGATAGCACTGATGAGTGCTAAGGAAATTATCTCACAACACAATCGAGGAAGATGATTTCATAAGGGACAGCAGCAATAGAGAATAGCATCAGAAGGTAAAAGATCTTACTTTTACGCACACATTTCTAGGAAGAGAAACAAGAAATAAAGATGCAGAAAAGCATTAAAAAAATTATTTACCAGGCTGATTTGGGATGCACCCGCTAGCTCATTTAGCACAACAGAAATAGGTGGCAGTGGAAAGTTGGCATACACTGTATGCTGTAAAACAACCAAGTTTTTTCCATTCCTAGAAAATGTGGGGTTTTTTTAAATACGCTGTGTGATAACCAATGCTTGTAAGATACGAAAAAGGTGGCAAAGCACTGCCTTTTCTGCAGGATCCTATGGATGTAAAGTTAGCCTCATTTTGTGACCACTTTTTCTTTTGGCAGTGAAGACAAGGACCACATTTCAAGTGTAGTAGCTGAAGGAGAATGACCTTAGTGTAAGAGTAGATACGGAAAAGGATCACCTATTTTAGCGCATACGCAACTTAAGTGAAGTGTACCTGCAGTGCTTCCAACTGGTCGTGGCCGTGCCACTGATGGCATTTCCTCTGAGTATATCCCTCTGGAGGAATACTGAACCTCAGGTGGCTGCTGGTCTGGGTGCATTAACTCTGCAGGTTGAAGAAAACCTGGCCCGAAGTTCTGCCTGTGGAAAAGTAAGGACTCAAGATTACAATAAGTGAGTTGCCTAATTAGAATCAGTAATGCAGGTGTACGTCATCAACTTTTTAAGATGCCTTTTAATGTACATTTTGTCCTTAAATGCTAAAGAAAATAATTACATCTGAGGAATATATTCCTCTTCCATGAGCTGCACTGCACAGGAACAGAAGTTAGTAACTCGTAGCAAAATTTCACACGAGTGCTTTTCACATGTTACAGTCTCTTGAACGTAGAGGAAAAAAAACCCAGAGATCTTGTTTTCCCCTGAGGGAAAAAAACATCTTCAATGAAAAAAAAAAAACCCATATAAAAATACGACTTCAGGAGCGACGTAGCTGCTTACCTTAGCAACAAATCTGACTCTTACTCAAGAGTTTCTGGGCACACAGTTTTGATCTAAATCAACACATACAAACTGCACTGCACGTGTATTTCATGAACAATTATTATTCTATCATGCTTTCTGATAGTTTTTCAGGAAATTTTCAAAATTTTGCTCTTTCAGATTTATCAAGCCTTTCAAAGCTGTCATTAGCATGTATGAACAGACACAGTGTATACTAAATCTAGTATTTCATAGAATCATAGAATGGTTTGGGTTGGAAGGGACCTTACAGACCATCCAGTTCCAACCCCCCTGCCATGGGCAGGGACACCTTCCACTAGACCAGGTTGCTCAAAGTCTCATCCAGCCTGGCCTTGAACACTTCCAGGGATGCAGCATTTATTATAATTCAGGCTAGCAATGGTAGCTATTGTTATGTATTGACAGAAAAGAGTTAACAACAGAAACTGTCATCAATCTAACTTCATTAATTGTGCCAAGCTACTGGGATTTGTAAAAGAAACCCTATAATTCATGCACAAAACAGGAGTAGAGAAGGAGATGGAAATGCTGCTTTTCCTGTTTGCTATTAACATATTTTATCCCTGGCATGGAGAGATTATATTTTAAAAGACTGATAGCAGGTGAATTTTCAAGGATTATTGATTCCTGTCATTTTGGTGGAGGTGTGGATGCCCAAACAGCAGGTGCTTAGATTACTAGGCTCGTCTCTCTTAGACTCCAGGTATGATCAAAGAAGAGAGACAAGCTCCTCAAGAGGCATTCAAAGCAAAAGATTAAGTTCTGTAAATCATTTCCTGCAAGAGCCTCTCCCAGGTGAGTATGCAAGATAACACCCGTGTCCTAAGTCAGGCACATGAAGTCACATGAAGTGAGGACTAGGGATGAGTTCTCTATGCCTTTTACCACACCACCATCACAGCCCTTCTAGGCTGTGGACTGCAACCTGTTCCATTCCTCAAGACCTCAGTTTTGTACTCGTTTGTATTACCCAAAAATCCTGTGACTGCATCTAATCCAAACTATTCTTGATTTGTGCTTTATTTGGAAAACTAACCACCTTGGTGTGACAGCCAGATAGCAAAGAAAGCTGATGTAATAACAGAGAGCTTAATAATGCCAAATAAAAGCCTAATGAAGTGCAAACAAGTAATTGTAAATTAAGATACTCACTACTGGGCGTACGGTATTAAATGGAGGAGGTATGAGGGGTTCAAGCTGCAACAATCCCATAGTGGAAGTGACAGAATTTCCCCAGCTCCCTTGCCTACGATCCCACCTGTCCTCTCAGCAGATCCAAAGAAAACCATTTCCAAGCAGACTTGCAAAATAAATGCCTGAGTGGATAGGTAATGTTTAGCAATGTCACTTCAGTTATGTTAATCAGTGTAACCAGTAAAGGATGTGATCATCTGGCCCTTTATGCCTGTAATACTGAGCTGGAATCTTGTGGCTGATGAATTACTATAATTTTTTTATGATTTCTAAAGAAAATTTTTTCTCAGCATTACTGCAAATGTATTATTTTTGACCCAGTGGGGAGTGTATCCTTTATTGTTGCTGGGTTTGTACTTGAAAGGTGCACATTTAACAACCTATCACACACTCTTCTCTACCTTCTTCATAGCAGATAGATACACCTACTCTGTAAAGTCAGAGATCAGCAAGAGTATAAAACCAGGATACAGCTCTGAATCTGAATCATACAGGATTTCCAGTGCTCCTTCCTATTTCCAGACTAAGATCCAGCCTTCAATTTATCTTTGCACATCCAAAAAAATTATTAATCTCCTGTTAATTAATTAAGTGGGGAGATACTGCCCCAAAATCAATTTTACACCACTAAACCCCTGCGGGCAAGTATCTCTGTCGCATGATGCAATATTCATTTTCCAATAGAAGCTGTTCACTGTGCCTTTATGTTTGCCTAGCTGTTATGTGACCTAGGTCTTTACATCTAGTTTTTTTTTACCCAGGTTGGTTCCACCCCATTAAAGATGCTGACTGCATCTGTACAGAGAAAGGAACAGTACGGTCACCCAACTACTATTCCATGCACTGGATATTTAAGCCAATGGACCATAACATCGATACACACCACCTAATCATACTGACCGCAGGTTATTTTTCCTTCCACTAATTGATGCACTGTTTCTATCAATTTGTTTATTATCTTCTGACTTTGAGCATAAGCCCCACTCCACAACCGTGACAACTCTTTCCTTGTTTTCTCCTGACCAAGCTTTAGGAAAACTTTTATTTTAATGAAAATTTAAAGGAATTCTTCCTGTTAGGGTCAGCAACCTTGCAGATTAACTTAATCTGCCGGCACTGGAAAGGCCAATATCTGAACTAATAATGATGCCACTGATTTGTTACGCTGGAAAGGCCAATATCTGAACTATTAATAATGATGCCACTGATTTGTTACTTACAGAATGCCAGAGTGTCTGTGCCAAAGGTTGATAAACTTTGAACAAAAAAGACATGGCAAAGACACTACCTTGCTCAGGTGTATTAACATGGGCTACAGCACTGCCGTGATTAACACCACATTTTCCCTGAATGCATAACAGGCCAACAAAGAAAAAAGCCTCAATAACAAACACCTGCTTATGCTCTATGTTGGCAGTCTCAAAGCTCAATCTTCAAGGTAACCTAAATTACAAAAATTACACTGTGTGCCGTTTCATGTATGCACCACTCACACCGAAAGGGTCAACTTCAGCCAAGACCTAAGAAAACGTGCTTAGAGATTCCTCCTTTTCCAGCTGGTCCTTTCAAAATCACGTTGCAGAACAATGGATAAAGGGAAGTTCTTAATATCCATTTTACCATTGAGTTTCCAAGGCAGTGAAGCCTTTAGGTGAAATCTAATGCACGACATGGATACAGGTAGGATTCCACCTCACATGGTGAGCTATGAGAAGGTAATGAGAGCAGCACAAGGCCACCTCTTCACCACCTGGGCTGCAGCAGCTTGGACAGGGTGAGACAAGTCTGACCACAGTGAGTGTCATGAGTCCAACTGCACGTGTAGTTAAAACACAGACACCAAATGTGGAATTGACAGTCACTTGGACAACTGTTTCTTCTCTTTACATGATTCTCCCACAGCAAGGTCAGAAGATGGAAAATTTGTTCCCCTCCTCTGATTCTATAACAAGAGGCCTGCAAGGAAGGCTTTCCCTGTGAGGGTCACCATGCTCTGTAATTTGTTCTCAACTTGGTTAAAAATAGAATGAATCTGTCAGTCATTTGAAAGCCTTTGCCAGCGAGTGTTGCCCCGAGGCTAGAGAAAGTAGATGAAAGCCAGAGTATTGGGAGAATTACATGTATCTGAGTAACTGTTTCAGGGTCTCTAAAAGCTGAAACTCAGTGGTTTACTCAATATTTGGAAGGATATCTCCATAGTCAAGGGATTAGAAACACATTTCTTTTAAATGGAGGCTTCAATTCCATACAGCGTGCATGTGTCATTCATACTACATAAATAAATTACACAGGCTGGATCTGGACTCCTGTTACTTCTCATTTACATAGTACTTTGCATAATAACATACCAGTGCCAGTAAGAACTCTGGAGGAATTGCAAGGAAAATAATAAATGATAATTCTATCAGTGAAAAGCTACCTTGGTAGGAGACCTGGTGCTGTTGGCGGAGTCATTCCAAATTCCACATATCTCTGTCAAAAGAATGAAAAAACCATGCCAAATTAAAATCAAAATGCATACCCTGGGAAGTCCATTCTCAGCCTTTCAAGTGATGAATGACAGAGATCACTAGGCCTGTGTGACTTGATTGGAGCTATCAGAGCCTAGTTTTACAAACCAAGAAGCACAGGAAGATCTGGGAATCATTGCTGCAGTGGGCTGGCAGCCTGTTCTGTCTGATCAGAGTGTTAATTTAAAACCTTCCAGAAATACTTTCTCTCACTTGCAGAAGATTAAGGGCTGCTCCTATGTCTGTTTAGTTTAAAACTTCCAGCAAACTGAGCACCACAGGGCTCAGACTCAACAGGCCAATGGCATTATGAAACTTCTACTGAATTGCTGTGGAATTCGAGATGACCTAAAAGATTATCCACATGTCTCAGTGCTCCATAAAATGCAAAAAAGTCATGCACAGAATTACGGCTTCCCTATCCCTCACCTCCTGAGAGCGCTTGGATACCCTGGTGAAAAATAAGACCCAAGCCAAATACATTCTTTTTCCATTGTCATAATACGAACTAGCATATGCATTAAAACAGTTTACTCTTGGACATAACAAGACCGATCTGTGAAAGATCATAACTGAGACTACAGAATAGTTACCCTAAAGCAGGAGAACTATTTTCTCTTGCGGTTGGGATGGGAAAAGAATCCAAACTGCTTAAAAAGTAAGTTCCCCAACTTGTGCTGGTCATTTCTGAATTGTCCTGGTTCGAGAAACTGTCCCACGTTTGTGGTAAGTCCTTAGAGCAAGGGCACAATAACAGTGACCTCGGCTGAACTGGTGCTAACTACCTGCCCAGAAAAGCCTTTTAAATTGCATCACTCACATTAAATGGGTTGTTTACTGCCTGAGTTGGACCATAAGGTGATCCCCACTGGGTGCATGTGGTTCCCCTCCCTGCTCGAGCAGGAGTGTTGTTTACCGGCTGTCCTGCAGAGACCACGGGTGGCGTGACGGCCGTGGAATTGGCTGCTTGGCTGCTGGGAGCCACCAGTGCAAAAGCATCATCCAGCAGCGAGTGCATGGTTTGCCGAGCCTCTTCAATGGATGGCTGCGGTGGGACATACTGGGAGACGGGGTGGGACGGCAAGCTAGGGAACTTCCCCAGATCAGCAGAAGATGATGTCTGAGGTTCAGGAGGCAAGTCTGGATCAGACTGGAGGAAAGGGAAAGAAGGTGAAGGGCAGCCAGAGAGAAGATCTAACCCAGCTTCTAAGCCCCTGGGGCCTTCAATCTGAGCAGCATTTTCTTTGCCAGAACCCCAATGAGTTAAGTGACACAAGTGCTGGTGCCGGACAAAACACGCCCCTTACCCTCCCCATTGCTGCATGCACATACACGACACCAGCTGTTCAAATACTTCATTTCTGATCTGAAAGACCCTGATGATCTCAGGTAGGGCAGTGGAGCTTTGTGCAGCAGCTACTCACAGAAGAGAAACCTTGCGGCTTGCAAGCACGCAACGACGTCACGCGGAGAGTGTGTACTCCACCCACAGAGAGACCATCAGCTCTGCCTACGCCTTTGACTTCTCTGCAGCTTTTGCAGTTCCAAGACAATTAATTCAGTCTTTATCTTGCAACTGACCACATCAGCAGTAATATTAAGCTATTATTACCTCCCAGAAAAACACACAAAGGGAGCTGTTAAGCAAATAAGTGATGAGCTGCATGGAACTTGAACTGATATGAATCCCATTCAGGTGATGCACACAGGTGCTTCATAGCAGCAACACCTGAGGCGTGCATCACAATTGCTACCTGGGATCTTACCACACAGGGTTATTGTGCATCAGTAACAGGAAATTAAATGAGCTTTGCACCAGCAAAATTCCTATCCAAGCTCATTTTTACCACTGCATGCAGACTGCAAAAAAATCAGTTAATATGCAAAAGCCTCTACTTCACCAAGAACTTAGCATTCTGAGTACTGTCTCACTACAGATGCCAAAGGGGCTGAGCTTGTGACACGTCTTAATTAAACAGCTTCAGATGATAATTCATTTTGCTGCAGCATGACATTAAAATCATCACACTCTTGTTTTGAAAGGAGAGGAAAACCACAGAAACAGACATTGTAGTCACTTAACTGCATATGCATTTAATGGTGAATTTCTTAAATTATTAAACCATCTTTCAAGATGAAAACTGTCCAGGGCTTTCCAATATGAGCATTAGGCTTGGTAAAGTCCGCTCAGAAGTGGCTGAAGGTGCCTAAATACAGTTTGTCACATGGATATGATTGAACAGAAGCCTTCTGCAGTGCCTTTGCCTATTTTTAGGCAGGAAACAAAATTAATTTTCAGGACATTGTACTAGAATTGTTTCAAGTTACTGCAGTATAAAGACATGTTTTTCTTTCGTTAATAATTCTCACATTTTAAAGATGAGAAAATTTCTCATGAAAGGAAATGTGTCTCCCACTGTGTGAGAGCAACAAGTTACTACAGTATAAAGACATGTTCTTCACATTTTAAAGATGAGAAAATTTCCCATGAAAGGAAATGTGTCTCCAACTGTGTGAGAGCAAAGGATGAAATTTTCTGTAAAATATGAATATACAACATCCAGCAAATTGGACCAGAGTGAAACTGTGCTCAGCATAGCGTGGAACATGCCAAGCACACTTTCATGTGCATAATACAGTGGCATTAATGAAAACAAGGTTTTGGTTCTTGGCCTCTTTACTATTAAGGAATACTTGGCAGATTGTTACTGCTTAATACTGACAGACTGCCAATGAAACCCTTGTTTCACTTTGATTTGCATGCTAACTACATGTGACTGAAATCAGCTATACAGACCATAGTCAGAAGGCCAAAAATCTCCCCATGTCACAGCTGTCATTACAATTACCAGAGCGCTCCTGTCATTCAAGAGACATACATACAATATACGCAGAATTATTGACTCCTGGAGGCCTTTTGTACGTCCCATCGCTGTCAGTTGTGATTAACCTGTCCTTTTCCGCATCAATAGGGCTACCATTTATCTGATGTCGCCGGCGCTGCTTGGGAGAACGTTTTGCACGAGAACTTAACAGGAAGGAAACAAAAGGCAGAGAGAGAGAAAAAACAGACAAAGGTAATCACATTTCTCTTTACAATTTTCCTTCTGATCACACTCAAGGTTGAATTCCTCTGCCCATGGCGAAGTCATCGTTGCCTCAGCCCTGTTTCTCTTCCCTTTCCCCAGTTTTTCATGTCAGTCTCATTAGTTTGCCTTGAGTCTCCTTCCTCAAGCTTCTCCTAGTAACACTTGACAGCCCTCCATGTTGTCCCTTCCTCTCTCAACCTCTCTCCAGTGTCATGTCCCTTTCAAAGCTGTTTGTGCTCCAGCCACCCCCCGTGCCTCTCCAGACCTCCCAGACCAATGCGTGACACATCCGTCTGCAGCAGCAGAACAGACCCAACTGCCAACAAGGACTTGGCTTCCACGTTGGATTTAACCCTATCAGGCAAACCTGCTAAGGCACCCAGAGAGTGGGAAAAAGCTACTTTCTGTCATCACAGAAGCTGCCACAGGGTACCAGTGCTCTGGGAACAAAGTACCAGTATCCATAAGCTCTAAACAGAGCCCAAGGAAGACTTTCTCTGAAAATACAAGTCCATGAAAGCAGATCCGTGAGGCTGACAAATGTGCCTCATAACCTTTTACATATTCCCACTGGGTAATCTCATTGATTGTGAATTTGCCTTTGAGATTCAGAATCTTCATGCCTTTTTTATTCAAGGGTTTCCTTATTTTGCATCCTTTCCCCCCCGTTTTAAAAAAAAGGGGGGAAATAAAGAATATTATTTCTTGCAGTTTGTATTTTCTGTGTATCTTTGTTTAGTATTTATATTGCAATTTTGACTCTTCTACATCACACAAGAATTATTCAAACAAATACTAAATGGTTTTAAGACCGTTTTCATACTTTTGGGGGTATTTATTCAGAATTCACCTCTGAGAATGTGTAAAAGAATAATTTGAAAACAAACACACTGGCATATACTGAAATTAATAAAAATATTTAAAACAGCCCCAACATTTTCACCTAGCTAACTCAAATTCAACTAGGGATCAAAATGATTTTAAGGTCTGTAAGTTCAGAAGTACAGGTTTATGTATTTTGAACACTGAATCTAAAACAAAATTCTTCTTTCCCGTTTTTAAAACCCCTACCTCTTCCTGGGCTCTATGAAGACAGTAGGCACGCTGCCTCCAGGGTCCAAGATCTTGTCAATCTGCATCTGTGCCTTGCGATATATTCTGTGCTGTTCTTTGGAGTCCACCACCACCACATCATCCACCACTGGAAATTCATAGTGCCCTTTGCGCTTGGCGCGAAGACGAATCTTATTGCGGTGATGCTCAATCTCGGATTTATGCCTCAGGGCTGTCTGTATCTTAAGGAAGGGGGGGGAAAAATTCAACTACACTTTTTACTTGTAGTTCTTGCCAACACAACTTCTTGCTGCTCTTCCATAAACTCTCCTCCTCACCTCCCTGTCTGACCCTCCCTCCTCCCTCCCCCGAATCTCTAAAAGATTAAAATCAGTCACACAATTTGTAAACACTCACCTCTTTCTTTCCTGGATATTTTGCAGTATCCCCACTGTCTCCCCAGGCAGTGATGGCAGCACAGCAGGTACAATTAGAGAAAGGTGGCAATTTGTTAATAGAAGGCAGAAGGATCACAAAAAAATCCTGCTGTGTGCCAGAAATGACACTGCTCTGGAAAGAAAAAAAAAAAAAAAGACTAATCAGTACAGGCTATATCCATCTTCGATTGTCAGAGATACATTTGATCAATAGTGCTGAAATCTGTCACCCATTCCCTTTAATAACCTTCATCACATAAGAAGCAAGAACTTAAAGAGCTAATTGAGCTCTTAACTTGGTGCCTCTCCTAGGCGTGAGAGGCGACGACAAGCTATGCAGAAACGTAGCAGCAATATAAGGATCCAGGTCCCTAGATAAACATGGCATTATCAGCTCTACATCTTCTTGCAGGCTGAGCTTTCATCCCTGTCCTGCCTTTTTTCCAAATTCCCTAGAATGCATCTTATCATCTGGGAAAAGCTATCATAACAGCACACTACTAAGTCTTGGGCCAACATTTGCCGAAATCATTCCTATCAACGGAAAAGCCTTGGGCTGGTACCAGATCAGGTAGCAACTACAGCTCTGCCTGCGCTGGACTAGTTCTGGAACACATCTGCAGCAGTGAATTAAAAACCAAATAAAAATTGGTTTTTGTGTGTTCCCTCATGAAAATCCCCAAAAAGCATAAAAGGGACAAAAGCCCAACTTACTCTTTATAGTTAGAACTCTCTGTCTTCTGCCATACAATCAGGTTTCTGTTTTGTGGTCCCTCTTGCCTATGTATTGTATTTACCTCTCTTCCTTAAGATACTCAGAAACACATTATCTTAACGCAAAGTTAAAGTCTTTAGTAATCTTCCACTCTGAATTACGAAGATGCTATCTTACACCCAATACAAAAGCAGGATGCAGGTACATGGTACTGTCAGGCTGCGTATGCTGTGGTTTTACAGCACATCGCCTTCTCTCCTAATGGCCCAGGCACACTCATATTCTGCTTACAGTAACGTGAGCCCCAGAGAAAGCAGGAAGTTTCTGTATGTTTACTGTCAGATAAGCACATCAGAAGGTGGAAGCAATGAATGTGCTACAAATTCACACCCCAGAATGTCTTGAAATCACTTGTTTGTATAACCAACATCCTGAGTTGCTGAAAAGTCAGAAGAGTGGTGTAGAATGAAAACAAAGGTGCGCCAGACATTCCAGTTCTGGCACATTAACTCACGCTACACATGCTGAGTAGCAAAAAGGTGGTAACACAAGGGGTCCTGACCATCAAATTTGCCCTTCTCTCACTGTTTAAGCATCTCTTAAAAACAACTCAGATTATCTCTCTGGACAGAAACTGGATTATTCCTGTAGCTTGTCAAAATTCAGCTCCTCATTTACTAACAAAGAGCTCCTGATAAACAAGAAACTGGATACTTTTCACTTCCCTTTTGGCTGGGCATACAGTCCTCCACAAACTTTCCAAGCACTTTAACAATACCTCTTTATTAATTTTGTTGGTCTCTGCTACTCGATCAGAAAGCACTGAGTTCTGAACCGGAGGCGCTGCCATCGGCTGCATAGCAATCAGCTGGATCTTGCTTGGGACCCTTCTGCTGGCATCTGAGGAACGCGACATCCTATCCACATGTTCAAAGATAGAGGCTGAGGAATGCTGCTCATTTCCACTGCTGGTCTGAGGAGGTCCTAAATCACCAGAACGAATTCAGAGTGAAGTAGTGCTGCTAGGGTTATCTCAGTCAATTGTTAAGCTCTACAGATGCTATGCTGCAAGACTGTGCCATGGTTTCCATCTGTGTTTAATTTGCCCTATAGGCCTTCCAGCTGACTCACATTTAGCGTACAACATGTTTACCCAGTGGTTTGCAAATGATAAACATTTTTCCATTATATTTCCAGAAGGTGAGCTGTCATTCTTTATTTCTGTAAATCAAGCTCTTGGCATTTGAAAACCTCCAAAATCTCAATCTACTTTACTCCATAAAAAGGACATACTGTGAATGGTCCCTCTTATCACTGCTTCAGGAGATGCTAATCCCTCAAATGGAGGTTCAAAGAGGAACAGAAGATGTCTCAAGTGCAAAACGCAGTTCTTAAGTGATACATGACTAAACAAAAACCCCCTTAGAAATCCACACAAAACACACAGAATTTTACAGACATTTTACTGATTAAAGCTTTTAAAGCTTTCTTCTCTGTGACAGCAATTATGTGACAGTTCACATAATAATAAGCAAGCTGCACAAATATTGCCATGTTGTGACTTGTTGGAGAGATTAAATGAACTCAAATATCAGCAGCAAAAGACGTTATGGACACCAATACACATCAAAGTTGTGTCCTTGGTCCTGCCAAATGGGTTATCTCCCTCAAAGGGCTTGAAATCTGCAGGATGACCCCAGTGGTTTGCAGGTAAGCACACACTGAAGTATTTTTTTGCTGGAGCTAGGCCTACAACAGGAATTGTCAGCTGAATTAGGCTTGCAAAAAACTATTGAAGATTTGCAAAATAACCTTTTATCATGTCCACGTGGTAACACCACAAATTCTCAAACTGCTTTTCAACATGAAATATGGGCAATAAGAGATTAAGATTTGTGCCAGGAACACAACTGAGCAGAGGGACATATTCCCACATCCACACACAGACTTGTATTAACGAGCTGTGGTCCTCAGATTCAAATTGGAAGGAGAATCTGATTTGATTTGATTCCAATACAGAACCAGTGGTGATCAACCTGATCCAACTCCAACAGGCAAGAAAACAGCCCCTGCTCTGATCCATTTGCAACACGTGCTGGTAGTGAAGTATGGGATTCTGAAAAGCAGTGAATGCTATCTTCTGTAGAAGATCACAGTAGTTGACTTGCTCCTTTGCTTCCCTCTTCTAGCACAAAAAGGGAGCAGGAGAGGGAAGGAACGGTACACTTCATTATATTCACAGTACATTACTTTTGGGTTGGAAAGCAATCTGGACGCAAGCTAAGCAAAATTATTATACTTCGTATTTTTTAAACTTGATCAATGCAGTGTCAAATGTGCACATTTATAAATGGTATGCATCATTTATAAATAAAACCTTCCTGTACTAAGTGCCCTTAAAAAGGAGGTAAACATTCCACTCAAGATCTCTGTGTCCCAAATGTTTTTCAAGACACAGCCTAAATGAAACATATCCATCTCTCCTCTGTAGCTGTTTGTATGACCTTTACCATCTGTCATCTGCACAGCCCCATCTTCATGCATTACTTCGGAGCACGCAAGCATTGCTTCTCACAGAGAGGGGCACAAGATGTATTAAGTAGTTAGCATGAATCCCTCAGAGCGATCCTCTACAACAATGGAAATCTGAAATTCTGCATCCATCTTTCCCATTTTCCCCATACATCAGCCATTTTTGCCAACCTTTCCAGTCTAACAGCAGTTCTCAAAGCTCACTGACCTCCAGCACAAAATTTTAAGGTTATTTTCCTATTACTTGGTTAGCAAGATCCAATATATTTACGTTGAGCATTCACTCTGAATCTTCACAATTTCATCCATAACCCTGACTTTTGCACATATCAACAAGTGCTTGGCAGAGGCCTCTTAGCTGAAATGGTTCTTAAACTCATTTTGTAAAACTGTCCAAAAGTCCCACTGCCAAATTCTGGTAAGGCTCTGCAGTAACATCATATGTTATTCTCTTCTACAGAAAAGATGCACACACACAAAAAACCCCCACCAAACCATAAGCCGCAGAAAAGATGCACACACAAAAAAAACCCCACCAAACCATAAGCCGCATCTGAGCTTTAAATCCTCTCTGTGTACATACACTGAATGTGTCTATAAATACAAACCAAGATGGAAGCATAGTAAAGTAGATAAGAAGCCTGGGAACTGCACAGTGCTGTACACATACCACAACAGGAGAAACTCTTCTAACTCAACACGAGTGAGCTCCTTTAGAAGTTCTGACAGAGCAAATAAGAATAGCTTCTCGTTTCGAAGTTCTTATATTACACTATTGTCCATGGTTAGAAAATCTTCCCTCTAAAGCTATCAGATGATACTCTATGAATGAAATATTGATCTCAGACTAGACAGCTGAGGCTGGAAAAATAATGGAGAGGAATTTATACCCAAATACGGGAGAGAACACGTTTGAACAACTAGTCCATATAGGTCACACGTCAAGATCAATGTTCACCACAGGTCCCTGGGTTGAAACTGCTAATTGAACTGAAATGTCAGGAAAATTAACAGCTCTGCAGGAAGCTATGATTTTGTATGAAAAACAATACAGTGGGATAGAAGAAGGCTACTGCTTCCTGCACCCTCTTGAAATGAAAACAAGACACAGCAAGTAAGGTGCATAAAGCCTAACCCAAAATCAGGTAAAGTCAATGGGAATCTTCCACTGACCCACTGGTACTTGAATCATGCCAGAGTATGCACTTTCAGATAAATTTCATGCAGTTTCTGTGTTTCCCAGTAGATCAGGGCTCCAGGATGCAGCTGTTGACTCTCATTAGTTACTTGTACAAACTCAGAAATGGGAAGCCTCATAGACAGCCTTATATCCATCCTTCTCTGCTATTATAAGATGGAAACTGCTATCAGAGGACACAGTCCTTAATCACCACATACAGTATGCATTGTCAAAGACAGGGTCAGCTTTATTCTGCCCCAACTTTGATATCTCAGTCCTGACCAGAAAAACACAAGTTCACGAGAAAATATTAGTGCTTCTTTGCAGGTAGCTCACGGGCTTCCAGCAAAGACACTAACAATATCTGTAACTTGTTTACACATAGCTAGTTTCAGGACCAACAGCTGTCTCAGTTTTGCTTCTTTCACAGTGATGTGTTCCTCAATAATATGAAAGAACTGGGAGGAAATTAGAAAAATGTGCCTAAATTGGATGACTATAATTTGTGTTATTGAGAATTTTTTACACTTTAATAGCTCAAAAGCAAGTAGTTTTTTTTAGACTCAGAAGACAAATCCTTCCATCCTTAAGATATCTGCAGCTACCCCAGCACCTCTATTCATATTTGTACTCAACTACCAGCTCTGGTTACTTACCCACTCTGTTCGCTCCTGACAACATAAAGGAAAAAGAAGAGACAACACGGTAATTATTACAAATAATTCAGCTGGAATGGCAACTGGAAAAAAACACAGCAGTGAGATGATTGCATTTACTTTTGAATGAAATGCATGAACTTGGATCAAACTGCCAAGCCTCAGCTGCACAAAAAGAGAACTGAATCTGCCATTTAACAGACAAGAGAGTTCTCTGCAGACAGTGCCTCCCATTCAGAATGCTAAAAATAGTCCCTATGATTACCAAACTACAGGCACCAAGCGCTGAAAAAAAATAGCGTATTTGATCCAGTAAGGTCATGATAGGTAAACCCCCCACATTTTACACAATATCCTTGCTGCCTTTGTCAGATAATTCAGATGCAGCAATACCTAACCCTTCTACACCAAAAGGCCATGTTAAACCTTACATGGGGGTTTTAAGCCAGATGGAAAATGAAGAGACAAAAATGGAGTTCCCAGGTAAGAAGAAATGGGAGAGCACTAAATTAGGGCATCAGAACTGATGTCAGAGAGGTTGGAGCAACTCATAAACCATGCTGAGATGAGCCGTGTCATAGTGTAACTGTTTTCCTATATATGTACTTGGGCACGAATTCTGGTCCTTAGAGCAAACCTAAAGCACTGAAAACATACAGCATCTTCTTTTTGTAAACTGTAAAGTACATACAGTATACACTGCCTGTGCAATTATGAGTAAGTATAACTTTCCAGTCACATTAGCAGATCCTGTCCTTTGTTTTCTTCAATGTTCCTTACAGAGGAAAGCCTGCTCCATCACCCTTCTCTTCCAGGAGCAGTCCGCATTATGAACGTTTAAGAACCATACACTATTTGGGTTTAGCCACCCAAGAGCTAGCACTTCATACAAACTATCTTACACGTTCCTCAATCTCATTTCTCTATCATACGCAAAACCTGAAGATTGTCTGCTACGATCCGAATTTCACTGGCACTGCATTCCTCAGCAGTCATCTTTACAGTTCAGCTGGTGTTTCACCGAGTACATAGAAAAACATACAATATACCAACGAGACTGCTCACAGTGTGGTCAATATTTTCTTCTTCTCAGTTTCTGCTGCGACCACGGTCACGTGTATTAAGAATAGATGGGGATATCACAAGCTCCTTTACCAGATATTCAGTATCAGAATTTTCTCTAGGATGACTACAGTCATTTAAGCCAATGACGGGATAACTAAAACCTCAGGCAAGAAGCAAGCCATCTAAACCCAAAAGGCTCTCAGGATAACCACTTAGTCTTTGTCTAGGCACAGTTACCCACACACTTTTAAACAGCAAAAGATTTTAAAAGGATGTTTTAATTAAAAAAAAAGAAAGTGGGTTTGCAGTGTTTTATCAACATTTGAATCAGGAAAACAAATACACCTTAGGGTACCTCCAAGACAAACTGTAGCACTTTTAACTGGAAAGAAGATAGTTCTTATACAAAAACATTCACTTTTTCAACATTTTAGCACTGGATTTTCATCTTTCTAAAGCACAATCATGAAGGCATTTTGACGTCTGAATTAGAACTTATTTGTAAAACTTATACCTCT